CTGCAGCTCAAGGCTAGCACTCTACCACTTGAGCCACAGCGCCACTTCCGGCTTTTTTCTTTTTGCTTATGTGGTGCTGAGGAATCGAACCCAGGGCCTGAGGCATGCAAGGCAAACACTCTACCACTGAGCCACCTTCCCAGCCCCAGTCCATGTGATTCTTATCTCCAATTAACCATCAGAAAAAACCACCAGTGGCACTGTGGCTCAAAGTGGTAGAGCACTAGCCTTGAGTAAAAGAGTTCAGGGACAGGGGCTCAGGCCCTGAATTCTAGCCCCAGGACCGACAAAATACAAACAAAACCCACAAACCTACACACAAAACACCACCACCACCAAAAAACAAAACCATGCAAAAAGGGGCTGGAGGTGTGACTCAAGTGGTAGAGTACTGTCCAATAAGTGTAAAGCCCTGAGTTCAATACCCAGTACTCCCAATTCCTAATATTGGGTGTTGAGTGTGGCTCTGAGGCCACATACCTACCTATGAAAGTTCCTGAGATCATGTGGCAAGTGCAAAAAAAAAAAAACAAAATGAAAATTTTACATGTGCCTCACTATTTCGGCTATTTCTTTGGGTTATATTATTTCTCCTTCCTGCATAGCTTATCATGAGCTTATCTTCTATAGATAAGTACACAAGTTTCCTTTTTACCATTCAGTTGTGACCCACAAATCTTTTCTTTTTTGCTGGGGGTTGAGCGTAGGCCCTCACACATGCTCAATTGGTCACTAAGCTATACCTCCAGCCTCTCCCCTCTCCTGTTTTTTGGGTGCAGATTTTGGGGCTTGAATGCAGGGCCTTGAGCTCTCATTTAGCTGTTTTGCTGTACTGCTTGAGCCATGCCTCCACTTCCAGCTTTTTGCTGGTTAATTGGAGATAAGAGTCTCTTGGATTTAGCTTCGAACCTCCATCTTCAGATCTCCACCTCCTGAGTAGCTAGGATTTACAGGTGTGAGACACCAGGGCTTAGCACATTAAAAAAAAAATCTTTAGGGAATGTTATTATCTTGATTGTTAGATTACAAAGTCATTTCCTAGAAACTCTCTAGAACTTCAGTTCCCAGGATGACATGTGTTTTTCTGACTTCTGCCTGAAACTCCTAATTGGTAATGCCTGCTTTCCCATGTAACTCCTAAGTCTTAATTAAAAAAAAAAAACCCACTTCTCTGCAAGTCTGCTTTGAACTCCCTTGTGGGGCAGGTGACCCTCGCACTTTTCAGTGGCTCACACAATGGCCTGCCTGTACCTAGCTTGATTGCATGTCCCTGTTTTGCTCACTGGATGCAGAAACCTTGAAAACACTGCAGTGCCTGGTCTTCAGCAAAGGGCTGGAGAATGAAGAGGAAATTGCACCCTTATTTGCTAGTAAAATTTCCCATCTGGAGGTCAGAAAACAGTTCACAATAGTTTATGGGGTTTTTTTTTGTTTGTTTTTTTGTTTTGCCAGTCCTGGGGCTTGAACTCAATGCCTGGGTGCTGTCCCTGAGCCTCTTTGTGCTCAAGGCTAGTGCTCTACCACTTGAGCCACAGTGCCACTTCTGGCTTTTTTGAGTTTATTGGAAATAAGATTCTCATGGGGACTTTTTTTTACATGGGCTGGTTTCAAACCATGATTCTCAGACCTCAGCCTTCTGGGTAGCTAGGATTACAGGTGTGAGTCACTAGAACCCAGCTTCACACTAGTTTTTTTCCCTTCATTTGTAGTCATATACATAGTGCCTCTCTTCATGGTTCCTTCTGTACTGCTCCATGGTGGCATACTTCCCGGTGGCTCTTTGGAAAGCCCTATTCTCAGGAGAGGACTCCATTACCCTTCCCTCCCAGTGTCCAGTCCAGTGCATCATTGTACTAAGTCTTCTTGCCAGCAGGTGGCACTGGAGGCCTGTAAGAAGCCGCTGACTCTTCCCTCCAGCACATAACTCTTTACCCCTTCAGGCTTGGGCTGTGTGAAAACCTCCAGAATGCTCTAGCTCCAAGATTGGGCTCCTGGCTCCCAAGGTGCTGTACTTCTTCCTTGTCTGGTGGCAGTCATTGTGTAACTGTCACTGTTATCTGGATGATGTGCTCAACCAGAGCTAAACTAGGTGGGGCACTTCTTAAGCCTCTTAAGGCTCTACCACTTCCGGTTTTCTAATGATTTATTGGTAAGAGTCTCACGGTCTCTCCTGCCCAGGCTGGCTTTGAATGGTGATCCTCAGATCTCAGCCTCCTGAATAACTAGGATTACAGGCATGAGCCACCAGCACCCAGCTTAAGCCTCTTTTTGTTTAGTAGCAATTTCTATATTTTCCCTACTTGTCTTGGGGCATGTGAACCCAAAGCCAAAGAAGCCCAGAATCCTTCCTGAAGGTCTCTTCTTGTAGGGGAGTAAATGTCCCACAGAAGCTAGGAGTGGGACATCTCTTTCATGATGGAGTAAACAAGAAATAATCACACTGTTAATCACAAGACCAAGGGCAATGAGCCAGGGCAAAGCCCACACTTGGATCTGGAAAGATGTGAGGTAGATGAGATGGGAGAGCGGCAGACCTTTTGGAGAGTCTAATCTCCCAGTAAGGACATTAGAAATGAGGCTGTTAAATGGTTGTAGAGGAAGTGCCAGGACCAGAAATCTTCCTTGGACAGCCATAGATATAGACAGAGGCCTCTTCGTCTCTTTGGCTGCCAAGCACTCCCTACCCCACCTTCAGAGCCCAGCCCTGGGTTTTGAGCGTGATCATTGCTATGGCAGCCATGACAGGGAGAATTACCTGGAGATCCTGGAGGCTTCAGGAATTTTGGAGATCTGAAGCAGAGGCAGAGTCTGAGGAACCTTAGAGCCCATTTAGATCAACCTGTCATTTAACAAATGAGGAAACAGATGGGAAATGACTTGCTCAATGACACCCTGAGTTAGTGGCAGAGCTGGGTTCATCAGACACATTGCCATGGTTAAAACTTAGTTCCCCAATAACAGATGATTCTTCATACACTGCACCCCCCACCCTTAGTTCCTTATCATGGGCTATGAATAATCAAGGACTGTTGTGCCATGACTGTGAATGACACATTAGCCAAACTGCCAGGCCAGTGTCACTATGAACCTCTAAACACCCCTGTGCTGTCATCAGGCAAACTGCTGCTAGCGGGTCCCAAAACCCAGCAGAGAAGATGAGAAGGGTTCAGAGGATTCTAAAATAAAGGAGATGGGAGCCTTTGGGGTTTACTGAAAACTGTTATAATTAAAGTAATACTTTATGAGTGTTTAGGACAGAGGGCAGACAGGCCGAGGCAGGCCTCCACTGCGGAGGCCATGGCAGGGGAGACGGCACCTGCAGGGAACCACAGCTCAGCCATGGCTCTAATTAACAGTCCGGATGGAGGCATCTTGGGGTGCCTTTGAGGAAAAGAAGGGAGTGGAGAGGGTCATGAAGCAGCTACTTAAATTTGGATTTCTACTCTGCTCCCATTGAGCACAAGGCCTTCTGGGAATATTAGAGCTGCCCTGTGTTTGACACAGATTCTTTTTCAGGCCAGGCTTCCTGCCAACTCAGGATGCTGGGGTCATCTTCATTATCATTCATCACTTCTTGTCTGACTTGATTTTCCCAACTTGCCACTTAAAAACAGTAGCAGGAGGAAGAACAAGGGATGTTCTTGTTCATCTAAACCCATGGCAGAAATGATTTGAGAACTGGCTGTTTCCCAGGGCTGGCAGGTGTGTGGAAGATTCCTTAGGGTGGTGAAGGGGCCTAGCAGAGCTCTGGGACAGGGAAAGTGGGAAGAGGGGAAGGTAGTGGAACCCTGAGGTCATTCTCAGGAAGCAGGGAGCACTAATCCTCAAAGCAGCAGCACAAAGGGCTATACAGAGGCTGCTCTGGAGGATCCGGGGTCTTTGGGGTGCAAGAGATGGCACCCTTTTGAAGTTTTGGGTTACTATTTGGGCAAAGCAAAGTCCCAGGCAGTTTCCTGTGCACATTTCCACATGGCCTGCATGAGGCGGGTGAAGCCCATGTCTTTGGGCTTCTCTAGACCTCTCATCAGCCGTTGCTTCATGATGGAAACAAATTCCTTATTGCTCAGCTCTCCATTGCCTAGATAAGGAGACAAACACAACAGTGTAAGTGGAGGCCTTGGAACAAAGTCACAGAAAATCCCACTGTTCACACCATGTGGGTTGAACATGCTCTTATAGCCAAACTGGATTCTCATGGCTCAGGACGAACTAGTTCACTTCTTTCTTGTCATTTCCAAAAATTCAGTGATGGGTGCAGTGTAGTATGACACAAGATGAATGGGAATATAGTGTCTGTCAGGTCCTATGCTCAGTACTGAAAATAAAGAAATAAGCAGACTTTGTGTTTTGTCCCTTGAAATCCTTGCAGGGTGTGGGAGAGACAAATTATGGCATCAGCATGGAACACAGGATGCTGTGGGCACAAAGGAAAGCAGCATGGCTGCCAGACAATTCCAAGTAGTGGAGGACGTTGACCCAGGGCTGGAGACAGGGCAAGTAAACTCAACAGGCTGACAGAGCTCAGCCTGCAGGTCTGTGCTCCTGCTCACCTTTGGTTACACTGTTCCCTACCTAGGAGGCTTCTTCTAGCTCACTCCCCTTTACCTGTAAATTCTTGCCACTTTGGGAAACCTGATTTTGCTTGTACTATGACCAGCTGGGTGAGATCTTCTTAGCCTAGCTGATTCTCAACATCTGCCACAGGACCTCACATATACTATATTCTGTATAAGGAGATAGGTACCTTCTTTCTAGAGACATTATAATACTTGAGTGCCCTTTCTCTACTAAACAACAAGCTGGGTTTACCATTTGTATTTCCATTTTCTTTTCCCAAGGAGATTATGTTTATTTGGGCTACATTAGGATTGTGGGGAAACACAGATTTCTCTCTCTTCTCTCTGTCTGCGACCAGGACTTAACCTCAGTATCTGATGCTTTTGGTCATTGGCTGGTGTTCTACCACACCTTCAACCCCTCTGTTGTTGAGATCTTCCTGACCATTAATGTAAACCACAGGCATATTGGAATTGCCACAAGTGGAGAATGCAATCCCTGTGTTATATTTCTCAATCTCCTGAGGCTGAGGACCGATCTCTGGGAGGCATGGCTAGTATAATGTTGCTACCTGCCAGGCTCCATTGGAAGCCATGTCTAGAAGGACTGTGCTGCTCTGCGTTCTCTTCTGATTCCAGAGGGCCTACTCACCGTCACAGTCAAAGAGCGCAAACACCACATCACACACATGGTCTGAGAGTTCCACTTTAGCTACGGTCCTGGCCACCTGCTGCATGGTCACTGAAAGAGGAGATACTGAATTAACATAACAGAAAGACTTCTGTTTTTGCTTTCTCTTAGTGGATAAACTGCTCAGAAGTTTTCAATGGTGTTGATGTCATATTTAAGAAAATGAGACCAGGCATGATGACCACATCTGTAATCCCTGCTACTCAGGATGCTATTCCATTCCTTTTTCTGCATATCATACCTACCTTCTGCTTTAACTGCTATAATCTGGGATTACCTTCCCATTCTCTCTTCTATTGCACTCATTCCATGCAGTGTCCACAGCCGGTTGTCTGGTTATTCTCACATTTACCCCTTTTCCCATGAAGACAGTGTTCTTTGCTCTAAATGGACCATTAAGTCATATTGAAGGAGGGTAGTGAGAGCTCCTGACAGTTTTTAGTAAGCTCGCCCAGCTGGTATTAAGTGGTTATAGAACAGGGACCTCTGGAGGCTGCAGTAAGAACTCCTAATTAGAAATGCCATCTTCTCACTGAACAGTGACAGATGATGTCCTATCTTGGCATGGAGAGGGCGCTGCTGGTCTGTGTACTACAGGAAGGAAAACCAGGGCTGCTAAGTCATTATGACTCAAACCCTGGGATGGTAACTGCCTCTGCTGGGTGCCCTTTCACAGTGCCACCAAGAGCCTCAGAGCCCCCAGGGCATAAATCCAGAGCAGGGTGAAACTATCTAGCTGGTGAGCTGTCAAACTGGGAGCTCCTAGGACAAGTGGGATGACAGCAGATTATAAAGCAAGTGCTTGACAGCTGGTCCTGAAAGCTGGCTCATTCATATTGTTTCCACCTTCTCTGAATCACAAAGCCATAATTAAATCACAGCAAGCAGAAAAATTCCCTCTTCAGATCTCAGCTCTCCTATGCAGAGCAGTTGTTGGTCTGGAATTTTGGCTTCTCTTATTTGACTATGATATTGTGAAATATATTTGGTATTCTTCCCAGTTTCTGGGCATACAACTCCTATATTCTTGGAATCTCCAAAGTAAGGTTTCTTTGAATATTAAGAAGATGACTGGTAGCTTCAGGATGAATGTGGGTCACAGGAAATACCAAAGCATGACTGTACTTTTTAGTCCCACCCTCTAACTTTGGGGGAGGAGAAAGGTGCTGAAAGTTGAGGAGGGTACAGATTGTCAGTGAGTGAATGAATCAATCCTGCCTGGGTAACAAAGACTCCATAAACCCCCAAAACACAGGGTGTGGAAACCTTGCAGAATGCTGGCTATGTGGAGTTTCTGGAGGGTGGTGTACCCAGAGGAGGCAAGGAAGCTCTGTGTTTCTTCTCCCAAATCTCTCCCTGTATGCCTCTTCTTTTGTATCCTTTGAAATATCTTTTTGTAATAAACTAGTAAACATAAGTATCTTCCAGGTCCTATGAGCCACTCTCACAAATAAATAGAACTTGAGGAGGTGGTTGTAGGAATCTTACTTATAGCTAGCTAGTCAGAAGCATAGCTAAAATAATCTAGGGCTTGACAGAGGGGGCGAGGCTTGAGGGTGAGCCCTCAACCTGTGGGATTTGGTGCTGTGTCTAGTTAGATGGTGTCAGAATTAGCTGAACTCTAGATGCCCAGCTGGTATCTATAGGCATATAGAATGGATTGCTTGTTTGCTGCTGGGGTGAAATCCCACAAAAAGAATGTAAAATGTGGAATCAGAAACAGAAAAAGTATTGATTTTTAAGAATAAGGGCAAAACATTAAAGGCAGAACCTCTTTGTAGAGGGAAACTCCATGTTAATTATTAAAGGGAAAATTCCAAAGATAAAGGCTTGAAGTAAATTAGGGAGTTAAACACTGGGTTACTGGAATTCAGTAAATAGTATAAACTATTAGCATCCACCATGAGGGACTCTCCAGGCCAGGGGTGACCCAGAAGTCACAGTGACCTGAATAACTGGAATCAAACCTGACCTCTGCAGATCCAAGAAATGGGTGAGAGGGAAACCAAGCACAATTGCCAAATTCCTCCCAACTGTGTAATTCTCTCTTCTATACCCCCAGCACCAAATTCCTGCTAAGGGCATAATTCTGCTTCTGTACCCCCAACTTGCTTGCTCTGGCTTATTGCAAAAAAGGCCACCAGCATGTGGTTTGTGCCCTTAAATACCCAGCAGGTCTGCATTTTGAGGCTGCACTCTGAAGCTCTACAAGCTGTGTGCACCAGCTCAGTCACTGCGCAGCAATAAAGATTCCTAGCCTATCTGACTGAGTGCTGGGATGTCTGCCTTGGAAATCAGGGTACAAAACTTCGTCCCTTTTAAAATAATATGTGTTTGTGTGTGTATATGTGTGTGTGTGCACACTGGCGTGCATGTGCATGCCAGTCCTGGGGCTTGAACTCAGGGCCTGGGTACTATCCCTGAACTTGTTTTTATTCAAGGTTAGTGCTCTACCATTTTGAGCCACAGCACCATTTCTGATTTTTTAGTAGTTAACTGGAGTTAAGAGTCTCATGGACTTCCCTGCCTAGGCTGGCTTTGAACTACGATTTTCAGATTTTAGCCTCCTGAGTAGGTAGGATTGATTATAGGTGTGAGTCACTAACATCTGTTTTTGTTTTTTGTTTTCAGTCAGGGTCTTACTATGTAGCCTAGACTGACCTGAAATCACTATGTAGCCCAGACTGTACTAGAACTCTTGAGACTCCTGCCTTTGCCTTCTGAGTGTTGGGATTACCATGTAATGTAAATCACCATGCCCAGCCTCATATACTTTCTCTGTTGATTACTTGTGTGAGAGAAGAAGAAAAACTGAATGCCAACTAATTGATGGTTTAGACTTTATTTCCTACTTTGAAAGACATCCACATGGAGCGTGAAGACACCATGAAAAAAAAGACTCTAACTTCCTTTTTATCAAATCTGTCTAAACAATCAGCTGACCTCAGATGGGTGATTTCTATTAGATCAGAATTTGTAGAAGCAGGCACAATTGGCACTCAAAAATCTAATGCCATCTGGCTTTTTGAAAAGTCCAGGCAGAATCTGAATTGTGCCAGGTCCTCAATTTACTGGCATTTATAGCCCATGAGTAGACAATTCAGCAGTGGAAAGAAACAAATACTGAGTCTGTGTGATATATCAGAAGCTACATTCCATAAAACTAGCAACAATAGTTAAGTTGGAAAGTATCATAGTGATAAGAACCAAAAGGTCCACATAGAATCAGAGAATCTTAGAGCCAGAGGAAGCCTGAAAGGCAATATGAAATGCAGAGAAGTTGAGTTACTCATTCAGGGTCACAAAACAAGTTAACAGCTAGCTCAATGTTCTTTTCCTATAATCCTAGGTCCACTTGACTCCTTATGTGGACACAACTAGCTTCTTCATGATTCTGTTATCGCCAAAGAGAGAATTCAGATGAAAGAACTGGGGAATCCTCAAGTGTTTTTGGTCAGAGATGAATAATCGAATAGCTGGGAGTTGTGAGAGTTGGTGTTATAGTTTGACCACAGCTCTGGCTGTTATGGACAGTGGAAGACACTTAGCATTCATTCCTTTGGAACTCACAGGGACCATTTCAGGGACAACTTAAAAGGCGTATTAAACATTAACCAGATAAAAAGCATATGGAACAAAGGTGGCCTTGGTAGCGTTTCCCCACAGGGGCATCTGATGTACAGACACAACTTCGGGCATCATGACCCAGTTAGAAACTGCCTTTGCAAAAGTGTTTGGAAAGGTGACCTGACACGTTAGACTGACAGTTTCTAGCTGGGTGGTCGGTCATATGATCAATCCTGCCTTTCTGGACTGCTGTGGAGAAAATCAAAAGCTGGCTTGTGAGTGCCAAGGTTAAGTAAGGAAAAACATTTTACTTCACCCCTGGAAAGGGCTTGATACAGATGTCTTAGTTTCAAGATGGGGAGAAGTTTTTCCTTGAGGAGTGTTTGTCCTTTCTTTTTCTGCATCTTCTTTTAGGATATTTTGGCAAATATGGCACACACATTTCAACCAGATTTTGGAGGGAGGTAAGGAGAAGCAACAGAATTTAGGAGAACTAGCAATTTAAGGAGCCCAGAGCAGTGTACAAGTAATGAAGATGGTAACAATTCCTTATTCTACATGGAATTGTTCTCAAGTATCCTTTTCTTCTTTTGTTAACCAGTGTTTCAACTTAGCATCTCACCCTTACTTGGCTTGCTTGATTGGCTGGTACTCTACAACTTGAGCTACCCCTCTAACCTGGCTTTTTGCTGGTTCTTTTGGAGCTGGAATCGCTTAGATTTTTCTGTCAGGAGTTGGCCTTGACACCATCTTCTGGATCTCAGCCTCCTGTGTAACTGGGATGATAGGCATGAGCCAGGTGCTGGCAGCTAGCTCAGAGGTAAAATTTGGATCTGAATTTTAAAGGACTGCTCTAGATTTGTGTATGTGGGTAGTAGGTGATGTGGGCGGGTTAGAGAGTCAGTCTGAAAAAAAGTATGGAAAGCAGGATGGTGCAAAAGCCTGACTCAAGAGCTAGAACATAAGGTGCAGAGGGGGACAAGCATATAGGAAGAGACTTTGCAGAGGTCCAATCCAGTCTCTGCAAGGAAACCTTAAAAACAAGCCAGTTCTTATCTGGAGACTAGTCTCACAATGTTGCTTATACTGACCTTGAAGTCCTTGGCTCAGTGATTCTTCTACCTCCCACCCCAGACCAACTAGGACTATTAATCTCCTGCCACTATGTCCAGCTTTTCGATTTACCATATTAATGTATTTTCCCCTTTTCCACTCTTTGAATATTCATTCTCTTTATTTTAGGAAATTATTTTATTTCATTTATTGTATGTTTTTGGTGTTGGTTGATCCTTGGGGCATTAAGCATACTCCTGGAGGAATTTTATTTTTTATTTGAAACAAGATCTTGCTGTACTTTAGGCTGGCCTTGAGTTCTAGACCCTCTTGTCTTTGCTTCTTGAGTGCTGGGATTACAGGCTTTGTCAACATGCCCAGGTAGAAAATTATTTTTGATTAGGCAATACTTTTACCTGTTTCACAATTCA